CTGGGATCTTAATTGGGTGATCCCCAAACCTCTTTGGTAGTGCTTGTTGAAGTGTAGCTTCTTGTTCTTTCAATACCAGGCAATGGAAAATGAAATATGTTCCAGAGAAAAAATATATTTATTAAAAAAAAAACAAAAAAACTTAATAAAATCAATATAAATAATATAGATATAAAGGGTAAGACCTCCCAGTGTCCAGTATGTCCTGGAGGTCTTACCCTTTATATCTATATTATTTATATTGATTTTATTAAGTTTTTTTTTTTTTATAAATATATTTTTTCTCTGGAACATATTTCATTTTCCATTGCCTGGTATTGAAAGAAAAAGAAGCTACACTTCAACAAGCACTACCAAAGAGGTTTGGGGATCACCCAATTAAGATCCCAGAGGAGATTCACACCAGAGCCAGGTCTTATTCTATGGCTCTTTCATTGTGAGTGCATAAGATTTAATGTTTTTTATTTTTCTGTGTATAGAAATATCTGCACTATCTTGTACCTCTCTATCTTTTGCAGCAAGAAAGGTAGAAGAGAGGGAAGTACATTTTACTATTATTATCACTTGCTCCACCTACTCTCTGTGTATTTAATATCAGAGCTGATCCTAGCTCTGAAAAGTGTGAGTAAGACTGATTTTATACTTTTATATTTATTTTATACACCGATTTACTGTGCCATTGGAGTTCTGTTTTATTCTTCTTTCTACATATGCTGAATTTTCATTTCACACTTGAAGATACGATCCCATCTACACCCTAAAGAATATTCCTCTACAAGTGGGACCTACCCTCACGGACTGTGATAAGCTCATTTTATTGGACTATTGTTTTATTACTTATTTTATCTGACTAATTTAGTTCTATATTTTATCATTATTTTAGTTTTAGGCGCATCCTTATATCTCTGTTTGTTTTTGCTATCTGTTACCATTAGGGGATTACTGGTGACTCCCCTTTGAGGAGTGCTGCCTTTCTTAATAATAATTTTATTGTGGCAATTTAGCGCAGATTTTTTCTCTTTTTATATATATATATATATATATATATATATATATATATATATATATATATATATTTTTTTTTTTTTAATTCTACTTGTATACTTAAGTAATCTTTTTACATAATTAGGTATCTTAATTAATTACAATTAGCGGGACCTTCCTCACAACCCAGGCAGAAAGTCCAGAGAATTTAATTTGCAAGCCCTATATTTAACCCTGTAACTTTCCAAAACATCATAAAACATGTACATGGAGGGTATTATTATACTCGTCTGACTTTGAACAAAGGTAAAATGTATCATCATGATGATATCACCAGTGAAATTCAGTTTTTGTAAAAAAAAAAAAAAGCAAATTTCAATGTTAACTTTGGCTAAGTGGCTACTAAAAAAAGGACATACACCATTTTGAATACAGTGGGCTGTCTACTTTTTCAAATGGTATGCCATTATGGAGTTAATTCTCATTCCTGGGCTGCCTAATGATCTCCAAGGCAACATAACCAATCTGGCAAATTTCAATGTGTAATAACTGGAAAGGGGAAAGACCTATATTTGACCCTGTAACGTTCCAAAACACTGTACATTGAGTATACTGTTGTACTCGAAAGACATTGCTGAACACAAATATGTGTATTCTATTGCAGAAAAAGCTTAAAGGACCACTATAGGCACCCATACCACTTCAGCTCATTGCCAGGTCCATCTAGGGTTAACCCTGCTGCTGTAAACATAGCAGTTTCTGAGAAACTGCTATGTTTACAACAGGGTTAATCCAGCCTCTAGTGGCTGTCTCATTTGCTTTGATCAGAACGTGTACAACTGCATCCGTCCTTAAGAGGTTAAAAAAAAAAAAAAAAGAAAAAACAACACTTTCTATGTCTGACAAAACCTTAAAGGACCACTATAGACAGCCAGACCACTTCAGCTTAATGAAGTGGTCTGGTTGCCAAGTCCAGCTCTTTTTTTCTATAAACATAGCAGTTTCAGGGGTTGAGGCACTCAGTAAATATAACAAAATAATTAAATTAAAACAAATAAAAAAATAATTCCGTCCCCCCAATCCCCTACCCATGTACTTACGGATCGCCGCTGTTCCCTCGCTGGTGATTGGTCTTCTTCTTAAGGGGACTGTCTGGGCTCAGCCCAAGCAGTCCGCCCTCTGAAATTTAGGACCCCCAGTGGCCATGTGACCGTTCTAAAAGAGCCCCCCTGCTGGTAAAAAAAAAAGTTAAAAAAAAGTTTATTAAAAAAAATAAAAAAATACAGTTAATAGAAAAAAATAAAAATAATTATATATATATATATATATATATATATATATATATATATATATATATATATTAGGTCATACAAACTGTATTTTAATCAATATATACATATATTAATTAAAAAAAATGCAGAGTAAAATTGCACACATATATACATTTATTTTTTTAGTTATTGGTTTTGATAGATATAGTTTTATATATATATATATATATATATATATATATATATATATATATATATATATATATATTTATATATTATTATTTATTTATTTTCCAGGTCCCATCACTCAATGTTCCTGGTCTTCTTGTGCTCCGGTGCACAATCTCCAACCAAAATATATATACCTAGTAGAGAGCACGTTGGAGTCTTGATAAAGTAAATTCAAACTGCTGCTTTATTAAGCAAACACAGTGATAAACACAATAGTCGACGTTTCAGTCTATTAACACGAGGAACAGAAAGCCACTTCATTATCAGTAATGAATATGAATAACTCTACAAGGCCCACCCAAGATGTCCTATACTGTATACGCTCCCCAAAGTTCACAAAGACCCTATTCATCCACCAGGCCGTTCTATAGTGTCTGCTAATGGAAGCTTGTTGGAGCCCATAGGAAAATGGCTTGATACACTGTTTAAAGGTCCAGTCACGGCACTACCTATGTGTGTTAAAGATCGTGGGGCAGTCATACAACATCTCAAAAACATAATCATACCAGAAAGTGGGATCCTCTTGGCTACGATAGATGTATGCAGCTTGTATACTGTCATCCCTCGCCAGGAGAGTATTGAGGCAATGGGAGAAATACTAGTTTAAAGTTGAAACCTCCCATAGACTACATACTAGAACTACTGCAAGCCTGCCTTACCTTAAATTACTTCAGATTCAAGTCCACATTTTACAACCAACTCACCGGGACCCATGTATGCCAACACTTTTATGTATGCATTTGATGATAAGTATATACTTAAGAGATTTGCTGGGAAGATTATGCATTATTTTCGCTTCATCGATGACATCTTACTATTATGGACAGGAACAGAAGAGGAATTTAAGATAATAATGCATTAACTTAACTTACCATCACCATTGCAGATTTACATATCAAGTGAGAAGTTCTAATATCAATTTCCTGTATTTACAAATATCTGTCAATGGTGACCGGATTGGATATACATTATATTCAAAACCAATGGACAGGAACACTTTACTACATGCCACAAGTTTCCACCCGCAAAAGTTAAAGCAATCTTTACCAGTCTCCCAGTTTGTCAGAGTGCTTCGTAACAACTCCAATAAAGATACAGCACAAATTTAAATCAATGAAATGTTTCAAAAGTTTCTAACTCGGGGATATTCTAAAGCCACCCTTAACACAGCCTATATCAAAAGCAAAAGAGAGTGACTACAGTGTTGGACAAAGCCAGCACTGGTATCCCTTTAAGGTTACAGAGATATCCAAGGGTATGAACCCCAAATCATAGTAAAGACGAAAGAAAGAACTAGAGTGGAGAGGCCATCCTGTCTAAAATAGGCAAATGGATATCCACTCCACCAAAGGATATCTCTTCAATTTAAAAATTCATATTAATGGTATAACCTTTATTAAAGCTGCACTGTCATGGCTGAATCACGTTTTTATTTTATTTTTTTAACCCCCATCCCGACTCCACTACATCCAACTGACCCCCTAGTCACCCCCAAATGCCCCTAAGCTTGGACTTGTCACCAGTGGGGTACCCACCCACCGCACAGTACACAGTACACCGTGAAACCTGGCTCCTTTGAAAGTGCTTGAAGTGGTATGATCCCCACTCAAGGATACAGGTGTAAATATAAATTCTGCCGTCCCTGTATATGTGGAGATAAACAAACAGAACCACAATTGTGTACACCATAAAAAGAAGTGTAGAAATAAATAAGTTAAACCTACTCACATGCTAAAGAGCACATTCTGGTTTGCTCAATCCAAAGCGCTTGGGTGGTATGGTCCCTACCAGGGATATAGCTCCAAACAAACCAACAACAGCAAAGTTATGTCCAATAAAAAAAAACAACAAAAAAAAACAAAAAAACTTTAATATAAAAAAATAATAAAAGTAATACAGTATATAATAAGATAAAATAGTGATAAAAAAGTTATAAACAATACACTTAACACGTTTCTCCTTGGATAGGCCTTATCAAAAGTGTTTTAAACACTTTTAAAACACTTTTGATAAAGCCTATCCAAAGGAGAAACACGTTAAGTGTATTGTTTATAACTTACCTTGTCAAGGATTACTAAAGCACTGCACCTACCCCCCCACGTTTTTATCCAGTGTTGAGAAATGCCTGGAGTACAGGAGGGGAGGCGAGCCTGCAGCTGTACAGAAAATCAGGCTCAACACAGGAATGCAAGCCAAGACACTGCTATCAGCCCGCAGAGAGTGATAGAGAGACTTACCAGGAACTTCATAATAGGAGAGAAATGATTTATTTTTTAGACCAGGTGCTGTAACTAACTAAATGTAGGATGTAACAAAACAGGTCTCTGAAGGAATACACCACAGTTTAATTTTAAACATGAAGCGCTCCAGGAAATCTTTACTGCAATAAGTAATGAATGGTTACTAAAATTATCTAGCATGTGAAAAATATTAATCATGATGTTACATGTGATGGCGATTACCAAGACAGAACAATAATGTGGAAAGGGGCACTACAGGCACTATATTTCCTAGGAAGCAAAATCTAGACAGTTTTGGGATAGGTATGCATGATTTTTTTCATATTAGCAAACTGTTTGACTTACAATGAGTAGGTGCCAGGGAACAGTATTGGTTATGGTACTTGAAGTGTTCCTTTTTATTGTGTTGGTGCCTGAAGTGTACTTTTCATAGCATATTACAAGTGAGCAGAAAAATCAACCATGATGTAAACCATAAGGATTGTTAAAGGGGGACGGTTACTTCACAGGATTGTTAATATTATGCTTCCTTATCCCTATACTCCGCAAATAAAATTACATTTATAAATACACTCCTTGTTATCCTGCCTCCATCTTAGCTCCATGTCAATCACCAGTTCTGTCCTTTGCACCAGGCAGCCAGCATTGAGAATATTCTCATGGAGGAGAAAAAAAAAAAACTATGTTTGTATTTGTCCTCTTCATATGCAATGCTTGGCTTGGATTATGAAGTCGTATATTAATTATAAATTTATGATCTAGTTTTATAAAACACTATAGGAAAACTAGAGACTATTTTTCCTTACGTTTAGCAGCCAACTTAAAAAAAAAAAAAAAATATTACACACACACACACACACACACACACATATATATACACACACACACACACACACACCAATTGGCGGAGCTTAAAGGGACACTATAGGCACCAAGACTAAGTCACTAAACCCTGCAACAGCAATTATTACAGTTTTCAATAAACTGCAATAATTACCTTTGTGAATTTAAGTACCACAAGCACATGGCAACCATGAGTAAGAGGAAAGGAGGATAGCAGCATCCATCTACCTCCAGAGAGTCAGACAGGTTCAAAGTTCCATCTCAATGGCAAGAACAAAATCCAAGCCATCAACACATATGCCCTACTGGTCATCAGGTACCAGGCTGGAATAATAACCTGTCCAAGAGACATAGGCGTGCGCAGCCTATTGCATTAGGGTGTGCACCCTAAAGCACAAACACACGCCGTGGGTGTGTGTGTGTATATATATATATATATATATATATATATATATATATATATATATATATATATTACACACACACACACACACACACACATATACATACATACATACACACACACACATACACTGCTGTATGTGCGGTTAGTGTGCTGTGTGCTATTAGTGTGATGTGTGTGAGGGTGCTGTTAGTGTGATGTGAGGGTGTTTGTGTGTGTTTGTGACTGTGCTGTTTGTGTGTGAGGGTGTTTGTGTGTGTATGTTTGTCCTGTGAGGGTGCTGTTTGTGTGAGTGTTGTGTATTTGTGAGGGTGCTGTTTGTGTGTGTGTGTTTGTGAGGGTGCTGTTAGTGTGCTGTGTGTGAGGGTGTTGTGTTTTTTTTTTTTAAAGGTGCTGTGTGTGTTTGTTAGGGTGCGGTTAGTGTACTGTATGTGTGTAGGTGCTGTATGTGTGTGTGCTGTATGTTTGGAGGGATTTGGCAGATTAGTAAATCCTTGCTGCCATGTGCCATCCCTGGTGGTCCAGTGGAGAGTGAACTCTAGTCTGCGGGGCTAGAGTTAACACTCACGAGATCTGAGCGTTGCCGCAGCAACGCTCAGATATCGAGAGAGGAACCTGGCGGAGCTTCTGTCTAGAGCTCCCTGGGTCCTCTCATGCCTCCCTCCATGCTGTGGGCCGGTGAGGTAGATCTTTGGTCTCCCCGCCGGCCCATGGAGGCTTAGAGCAGAGCCGGCACTGCGTGTGTGTGTGTGTATAATATATATATATATATATATATTATATATACGTACACACACTCACAAACACATTCAGACACACACACACACTCACAGACACACACATACACAGACACACACAGAAACAGACACTCACAGAAACACACACACACACACACACACAGACACACACACACACACAAGAACAAATTATTATATTTAAAAAAAAATAAAAAAAATGTCCACCCAGCCTCCTACCTGGAGTGCTGGCGTGGACTTGTCCCTGGGGCCAGTGGGGTGGGCGCCTCTCTCCAGCTCAGCTGCGGCGAGGTAGCTGTCTGCTCCCTCTCGCCGCGCGGGCTGTCTACAGTAGCTGGGAGCCGGAATATGACGTCATATTCCGGCTCCCGGCATCAGCAAGCGGCGAGAGGAAGCAGAGAGCAGACAGCTCCCTCGCCGCGGCTGAGCTGGAGAGGGGGGGGGATCCATCATCTCTTGCCCCCCCCATGACAGGAGCAAGAGGTGAGACAGGGGGTGCTGAGTGTCTGCAGGAACAGCGTTCCTGCTCAAAAAAAGTGCAGGAACGCTGTTCCTGCAGGACTCAAACCATAGGCGTGCCACGGGGAATAGGGTGTGCCCAGGCCTATGCGAACGCCTATGCCAAGACAGGAACTGGTCACCATTGATGTCAAGATGGAAACTACGCACTATGAATGGAGGATTCCACCCAGAGACCGTACACCATCCGGAAGGAAGGAAGTTGGGGACTGATGAGTGTCAAGGCAACATTCCTGGATGAAACACTGGGCAAACACAAGTGCATCATGAAGATGGCTCACAAAGATGCACTGCTAAGGGAATGCCTGAGACCTCAACAGATACAGGATGCAGAAAAGGAGGAGTTTCCATGGCAAGATGAACTTCTCCATGGGGTGTACCACAGGCAGTTAGTGGATGGGGCTCACATAACAAGATCCTACCAGTGGTTGGAAAAAGCAGGACTGAAAGACAGCACTGAGGCATTAATCCTAGCAGCGCAGGAACAGGCAGTCAGCACCAGATCAATAGAAGCGGGGTCTACCACACCAGGCAAGACTCAAGGTGCCGACTGTGCAAAGAGGCCTCTGAAACAATCCAGCACATAGTGGCAGTTGCAAGATGTTAGAAGGAACAGCATACACGGAGAGGCACGACCAAATTGCTGGGATTGTGTACCGAGACCTCTGCACAGAATATGTGCTGGAACTGCCTAAGTTGATACCACAAAGGGTAGTTGAGACTGGCAGCCCCAAGATCCCGTGGGACTTTCAGGTCCAGACGGACAAGCAATTACTGGCTAACCAACCTGACATTGTGGTAGTAGACAAGGAACTGACGACTGCAGTAATAGTGGATGTGGCAATAGCCAGTAACTATAACATCAGGAAGAAATAACATAAGAAGATTGAAAAATACCAAGGACTGAAAGAAGAGCTAGAAAGGATGTGGAAAGTGAACGCAGTAGTAGTCCCAGTTGTGATAGGAGCACTCAGGGCTGTGACTCCCAATTTAAGGAAATGGTTTCAACAGATTTCAGGTGGGACATCTGAGATCGCGGTCCAGAAGAGCGCAGTTCTAGGAAGATACTAACGCCCAGGCCTGTGGTAGAGGACCCGAGAATGAGGAATAAACATAACACCCAGGAGGGGAGAGACAATTAATATATACACATATACACACACACAAACACATAGATTAGCTTTAATATATTAATGGATAGGCAGCAACCACAACAAACGTGTTCCTTCTTGCACTTTGGAAAAAAACAGGAGTTAGTAAAATCCAGTATGGGATGTGCCACAGGAGATAATAGGATATGAAAATTGGAAATACGTAAATATAAAACAAAGTCCAAGTGAGAAAAAAAAACTTTATATTCACAACAATGATTTCTTTGGGATGTGTTCAGGGTGGGCTATGGGTTCTTAGGGTGTGGAAATAGTGTCCGTGATCAGTCTCTCCGGTATGAGAGAAGAAGCGGAAAGGACCCAATAGCGCAATATGTATCATATAAAAAGTGGTTATAGAAGAATAGCGATAACATACTCACAATGTACCAGGCTATAGCTAGCTCTAGCATCAAGCGCTTGTAGTGGTACAATCCTCACTTTGGGATATAATGCGAGTATCTCCAGTCTTGAAAGCTCAGCGACAACTGGGGCTCAAATGACTATAAGGGGTAGGGATTGTGGCAATAGTGCTCTCCGAAGATAAAAACAGTGTGATCAGAATATAATAAAATATACTCACAAAGTAGAGAGCAAGCCAACTGCTCTGTGGTATCAGCTTTGGTGGTATGATCTCCACCTCGGATTTATTTGGAGTGATGATAAAAAAAACAGGAAAAGATAAAAAAAAAATAACAAGAAAATAAAAAATATAAAATAGTTTAAAGGAATTTGGCACAAACCTTGGTATATTGTCTGAAAAAAATGTTCCTTTATTGTACATACATACAAAGTAAATAAAACATCTGATAATCCGTTTCGCCACGGAGGCTTAATCAAAATGGGGTAAGAACAAAAACCCTGGCTTACTGAGAATTTATAGGTGAAAGCTAAATAAAATTGGCACCAAAAATAGAATCATAGGTAGGCAGCCAATCAGAAAAATAGCTTAATACAAACTTGAAATAATGTCTAAAATATGAAACAGATCGAAATTAAACTTTATAAAATGAGGATTGTTATTAAATTAAAATATTAGAACAACGTAATGATCCTGAAGTGTACGAAAAACTCCCCTCAGACCCCACACAAAAATACAGAGTATTTTATCTTCCTTTTTAAACAATGGCCTAGAATCTCATATTTTAACCAAACAAGAATTTAACTATCTTAAAGGGACACTATAGTCACCTGAACAACTTTAGCTTAATGAAGCAGTTTTGGTGTATAGAACATGCCCCTGCAGCCTCACTGCTCAATCCTTTGCCATTTAGGAGTTAAATCCCTTTGTTTATGAACCCTAATCACACCTCCCTGGATGTGACTTGCACAGCCTTCCATAAACACTTTCTGTAAAGAGAGCCCTATTTGGGCTTTCTTTATTGCAAGTTCTGTTTAATTAAGATTTTCTTATTCCCTGCTATGTTAATAGCTTGCTAGACCCTGCAAGAGCCTCCTGTATGTGATTAAAGTTCAATTTAGAGATTGAGATACAATTATTTAAGTGAAACCAGTTTTTATTTTTTTCATGCAGGCTCTGTCAATCATAGCCAGGGGAGGTGTGGCTAGGGCTGCATAAACAGAAACAAAGTGATTTAACTCCTAAATGACAGTGAATTGAGCAATTAAATTGCAGGGGAATGATCTATACACTAAAACTGCTTTATTTAGCTAAAGTAATTTAGGTGACTATAGTGTTCCTTTAACATAAAATTCATAAAAATTCCCGTTATTTATTTTTTGCCCAAGATACATAAAAATAAAACAAAACCCCCGGGTAGACCAATTGTGTCAGGGATTGGTTCCTTGTTGTGTAACCTAT